CCACCACACCAACCAGTTCAGAATCAACTAGCAAATATCCCACAACACCAACAACCGAAGCATCTACCACTCCAACCACTGAATCTTCCACATCACCATCAACACCTACACCAACAACTGAACCTCCCTCCCTACCAACACTCCCTTCAACTATATTGTCTACCCTAATTACGACGTCTAGAACAACTGAAGCGACAACGCAACCAACTACGGCAACTTCGACAATATTAACAACGCTTTCTACAACTCCAAGAGTGCCTACGACTTTGCCACCAATAATATCAACTCTGTCAACGCGTGTACCTTGTGCGACGCAAACCACTAATAAACCCAGTAAAACGACGACACCACCTACACCGATGCCATCACCACCTTTCGTGCCCATGCCCAATTTCAATCCATATCCGTGGTTCTACCCAGTCTATCCTTTCCCCTTCCCCGTCCTATTTTTGGATTGCTTCCAAGTACATGACAACACTGCTGGATTGCCAAATGGCGCGACTCGTATGCTTTGTGCACCGAGATTAACGTTTCCACCAACAAAACAACTGGTAACCGCTAGATAACCGAAATGGGTATTTTCTTCAACACTTAGATTACTTACTTAATGTTATTATATAGTATAGTGTAGTTTAATGTATAGTAATTTTTTATGCTCTTGGTTCTTGTCATAGATCCCATGCAGGTGCGATGAACTTCTAGTATAATTTCTAATAAAATTATAAAGAATAAATACTTATGAATAAAATCGATTTTCAAGAACTTTTATACTCGTTTGAGAGGAGTTTTCATGTGTGATATTTACACTGCTCAGAGCCTCTCATAGTTCTGGAGCTTAGCTTTCTTAAGATTAATGTTTGTGTGATATTGCTGTCGATTGACAACAGACTGTCAAATTATTAAAGGCCAGACTAAGAGTCTTTACGAAGTCAACTACAAAACTATTGTTACCTTACATACATATGTTTATGCTTTCAAAATTGATCTGATTGCTTAAAAATTTAATAAAACCTGAACAAAGGAGCCCAAAGCAGCTGTCTTTTGTTTGCTACTTAACAATAAGACTAAGCTTTATCAACGGCCATATCACCCCATCCGACAACTGAAATACCGGCGACACTTAGTTTACCAACTTAAGCTTCAATTTGCCCTTTTACATTATAAGTTGTAAAAAGATTGTGCCATAAGTTCTAGGATCTGGGCTTTCCAACTCCTGTAGGCTCCTTGTTTTTCGTACCTTAATGAACTACTACTCAGTAAAGATCCTTAAAACCTATAGGTTTAGAGTTCTTTTATAAAAACTATCTTTAAATTTTCACGCCTCTATGCCATCTAATAAAGCGACGAATGGACCTACAGGCCTATATTTTGCGGGTCCAAACCGAGTTTTCTGAATATTTGGAAACTTTTTAATTTGCTTTGACGGTATAAGCACCAACAGAAAAATCTGAACTAAGGCATAATCTCAAAAGATTCTTTTACTCATTCGAAAGCGGGGCCCGTCTAACTATTAGGAACCATCTCATTACCGATTTCAAAAAGTTAGTTTCAACAAAGGCCATTGAACAATGATAGAAAATAGATAGAAAATAAGTAGCTGCCATACAAACTGAACGATCAAAATCTTGTATGGATTTGGGAAACAATTACCAAGTGGTATGGATGGTCAAATTAGATTTATGATAGTTGGACTACATTTAGGTAAATCTATTTATTTATGCACCTAATTCAACAGTAGTGAAAATAATCTGAGCTTTCGAAAACATTAAAATAATAAATAATACCTTTCTGTCTTCGCTTTGTTTTTATATAGTTATATATTTTTGATATAGAGTAAACATGCTCGAGTATTACAAATTATAACAAGAGTGACAGATTTTTAGTTACGCAACAGGTATCCGTTGTTCTTCCATATGCTTATAAATAGACTTTCCATTACAGCACCACTACTCGAACATCACAAAGGGTTTCATCAGGATCCAAGTTCTGGAAGCCTTTATAGAAGAGGAAAATAATAAAAAGAGTAAAAAGTAGATGACATTGATAAAAAAATAATCTATATGGAGTATCATAGAGCTTAGGAAGTATTGGATTCGATATCAGGTATCTTAAAATTAAGTCTTTGAATATAACATTCTTTGATTAACTCAAATTTTGTTTTTCAAAATAAAGAAGTGCCGTTAAAGTTCTATGACTCTAGTTTACAATTATTCGGAGATATATGTGGTTGTAGCCCTAACACGAGCTCCATATAACGGAGTTTTCAACAGTAGACCGGTAGCGACAGCAAACGACGACATATTTTTTCACGCTCTTTTGACATTTCTCTACAGTAAAGTTTGCCATTTTGTCATAGAAGGAAATACGATTCTACAACGATTCGAAATTATTAAAACTTGCTACCAGTTTATGGTCATCATGTGACCCGTAGTGTCGAGAATATTGCTGCCGCTAGCGCATGAATTGAGGAAGACCCAAATCAGTCCTTCACACGGCGTTCTCAATCGTGGAGCATCTCTTGACGTCGTTGTGGCGAATTTTGCGAAAAGGCATGTACCTTACAAGATCTAATTGACGCAAGAACTGAAACCGCTTGACTTCCAGAACCGTCGTACATACTATATGTTCGTGAATTGGGCTGAGCAACAATTTGAAAATGATCCGAACTTTCATCGAAAAATCATGGCTTCGTCAATAAGAAAAATATGCGTTATTGGTCAGGCAGCAATTTACACGTATGAAACGTACGAAAGAATTACGGTTTGGTGCGGTTTGTGGGCCGGCGGCGTCATTGGGCCGTACTTCTTCCGTGATGATAAGGAGCGGCACGTTACTGTGAATGAGAATCGCTACCGCTCATTGATAACCGAACATTTTTAGTTCAAATTGGATCATATAGACTTGGACTACATATGATTCCAACAAGACGGCGCCACAAGCCAAACAGCGAATGTCGTAAGCATTTTATTGAAAACAAACTGGCCGCCTCCGTCGTGCGATTTGACCTCGTTAGAATATTTTCTGTGAGGCTACGCCAAGTCTATAGTCTATGCCAACAAGCCAGCGACGCTTGATGAACTTCGTACGAATATCGAACGTTACATTGCAGCAGTATTGACCGCTTTATGTTTGATAACCGTCAAAAATTGGGTTCAGAGTCTGCACTTCTGAATTTTATTGATATCCCAAGCCGTTTTTGAGAGGGAATTTAGTATTTGGTTCAACTCATGGTACTCAGCATACCTAGTGAAACTGCTGAAGACGTAATTTGACTGAGTGATTTGATTTAATTTGATTTGATTTAGTACCATGAATCATAGTCATGAAATCGCCATAGCAATCAGGTCTAGCTAAACGAAGTGTACTCGCATTAAAGTCCCGACAAGAACTGTAATTTAGGCTATATTTCACAACAAAAAATCTAACCAGCTACAACCTTTATATCAAAAAAATTTTTTCGCCAAATCGGACCTGCTTACTCTGCATAATGTCATAGTATTTTCACCACATATGTTTGTTTACCTTTTCTTGTATTTACTGAACGTAGATTTCTAATCACCGTGTTCTCTGGCAAAATCGCCTTGATGTCTTCCAAAGTGGGACTTCTGTGCTTCGCTGCAAGCAAAAGCATAGATTTAGAACTAAAATGGAAAACAGGTTGCATCAGGATATGATAAATGACTCACCAATAGCTGCCAGCTGTTTAATTAGCGCTTCTTGAGATGTTGCCAAAGCGAAAATGACGCATAATATGAACAGATGCAGTATGGGACGCATTTTGTTACTTAAATATTTAATTTTAATAAAAAATTTCTTATAACGGTATTCAAAATAAATTATAATAACTCACGCACAATTGAACGCTTCTAAACAAAGTATTCCACTCTTAAAAGTAATCGGGTATTTATAGCGATTTGTATGTACATATGTGTGTAGCTACATAAAATTATTTTAATAGCTTGAATTAAGGGCTGGGGAAAAAAATATACGTGACCAAGTTAATTACATAACTTACTTTTCAAGTTTGTCAGCAATAGAGGCGGTCGACAATATTTCTTTGTTCTAAGTGTAAATATATACTAAAATATATACATACTTATTTACAAACATATACATTACATATATACGAAAATTTTAAAATATGTGTGTGGCGTGAACTAAGCTACATTTTGGACCATTGAAACAAATTTTTCCAATACGGTTACGGATATCTTGACTGACCTCTCATCATCCACTGCAATATTACTAAGCTCTCCTTTGAGTAGAAGCTTTTTGGTCGGTCCAACAGCAACACTACTCCAAAGAAACTTTGTAGACCATACCACAACTCGCTGGTGTTCCAAGATCCGAAGAACCCTAGGGTTCATTTCTTCAGGCAACACTTGAATGAGCTAAATGATCTGGCGCAGCTTAGAGGAATTGTGTTCCCAACTGCCAACGTGCGGGTCAACTACTTTGCTTCCATTTCTTTAAGACTGCGTACCTAGATATTAAGAAACGAGTTACCTACTGAAAGTTTAGTTATTCTACTATAGAAGAAGTCCACTACTGTACCTATTTCACCCTTTGATCTGTCGGTGTATATGTAGACTTCGCCATTTTGACTGTCGAACTCTTGACCGTCTGTCCGTCTCTCTGTAATAAATTCATGATACACCAAACCACGAATATCAGAGCACCAACCCACGAATAATGAGCATCGTTGATTTTTGAGCGGCTTTGACGTGTTTTTTATTGGTTTCAGATCGTTTTTTTTTTTTCTCTCCATTTCAATGTTTGTTGACTGGTTTGCATGTCAAACTTATAACTACATGTTTCATCGGCAGTTTTAATGCTATCCATGATGTGGTTGTTACAGTAATCTTTTTGAAAAAAATTCAGTTGAGTAAGAACGCATTTCATACTCAAATACCCACTGAAATTATTCAAACGAGCTCGCGAGAGATATCGAGCTCTCGTGCTATGTCTCTAACACTTGCCTTACGATTTTCAAATCCTTCCATTTCTTAATATTTTCATCAGTTGAAGATCGGTCAACCACTCGTAGGCTTCTGTTTTTGATAAAACTGAATCAATGTAAGCTTTTTCCAACACGACAACAGGTGGCCAATTCCACCATCAAAAATTTAAAGAAATGTATCTCTTAAAATTTGTTACATTTTATTTTACTAATTTATTTTATTGAAAATAATATGGCAACTCTTGAAAAAAAAACAGTAAATCTGCTGAGAGCTCGATAGGTAGATAATATTATAAAATTTCAAATTCTCTTTGCTTTGCAAACATTACACTATTTATGTCAGAAATATATCTCAAAATTCAGTATAGATTGATGCTTGTGCTTTAATATTAAATTATTTGAAATACAAACTTAAATAGGTGGCAACTCTTCTAAAAATATTGTTTGCTATAAGCTTGCTTATGCCTCTTTAATAAAAATTTTTTTTTTTATTTTAATTAAAAAAAAATCTGGAGATGGCAACACTTTATTATTTTTAAGACAGAATTTGGTCTTTTGAAGTTTCAATATGCTACAAAATAATATTAATTTTGAGTGCAGGTGGCAACACTTTCTTTTCCATAAATCGCCAATTAAGCACCCTACACGATATCTTCACATACATACAAATGCCTTTCATACCCACTATATAATTTTGATCTAGCAATCTCTCCGTTTTGAATATCTTCAACTCATCCCTTCCATCACT